GCATTTATAGGCACAATAGCCATGGTTTCTAAGCATAGGTGAAGCAAAACATTGATGTCAGACTGCCTTTAGAAACCCACATTGTGTCAGACAGTGTCAAAGGGTACTCCCAAGGAAGACGCGCTACAGCCCACGGCCTCCCTCTGCACGTGGTCATGTCAGAGTCTGTGAGAGCAGAGTTAACACAGCCCCCCTCCCACCTCTAAGCTTACACTTGCCTCAACCCTCTGGCCACAGAGGCCCCATTCTCATGACCCCTGAAGAGAAAGAAGGTCCAGGCACACAGTGACCATGTCTGACAGTGCACTCCACTCCCTCATGTCATGCCCTGCATCTCAAAACTCATTTCTCTGACAGAAGTGAGCCTGCTGGGTGGGTTAAGGGGAATCAACATTTTTCTTTACCCTTTTGAGATGAAATTAAGGAAAGGGTTATGGTTACTGGTTGAAAACTGACACAGCTGCCTTGTCGGTTCTGCTGCCTAAGCCTAGGAATGCTTCTGGGATCAATACATAGAACTGAAAAAGGTTATTTTCCAAAGCACAGGTAGATGGTGTCTCCTAAATACTAGATGTGGGGTTTTTTGTTGTTTTGTTTTTAAGCGTTTTTCTTGAGAACCTTCTCTGAGATGTTTGAGCTTTAGAACTTACATGAAAAATAACATCTGGTGGATCTCTCCTCATCCAGAACAAAGAAGAATGAAGAAAACCAAAATTCATGGAACAATTAGTCCTAGCGACTGGTACACCATCCCATCTGCAGCCTATATGACTATGAGACCAGAAGAACTAGATGGTGCCCGTCTACCACTGTCATCCACTTGAAAGGGGATCTATGTAGGAGATCCTTGATAGAGAGGGAGAACAATGTGGAACAAAACTCAAAATCATTTGGAGGAAAAAAAAAAGGGGGGGGGGGGACCAGGTTTGCTGGTCCAATAGGGCCTGGTGGAACCACTGAGACTATGGCCCCTAGCTGCCCTTCAGATATGGAATTGAACCCACACCTGTGGTTTCCAGCCAAACAAAAGACAGGCATATGAGTTGAACATTTACCTCAGGTAGATACACTCCTTGGAGAGAACAATCATGGGAGAAAGAAAGGCTGCTTATGCACAGGGAGACAACTCAGGGGGCAGGCATGCATGAAGGGATGGACACTGGGAAGAGGTAACTATGGGGAGGAAGTGGGAGGCGAGCTGTTGCATTGTGGTGAACTGTAGTCAACGTCATGAGACAAAGTATATGTGAATCGCTGTATGGAAAGTAAATTTGCTCTGTAAATCTTCACCCAAATCACAAAAAAAAGAACAAAAATAAAAAAAACCCACCTGGGTTTTACTTTTGCATACCATGGCCCACGTATCTGCAACCTATGGTTACCGTTAACTGGTGTGCTCACCCACGAGATTTCGCCTTTGAGGGTGAGGAATATGGTTTGTTGTTAGTATACAGAGTCAGACTTACTGATGCACTGCTGAACTGTTTGCTAGGTTCTCACTACCCAATCCATCCATCCCCTGCCCTCCCAGACCAACTTCTCTGCCACATTTTCCCATCTCCTCAACCAGTGTCACAACTCTGTTCATCAAAATTCAATTCCACTCACATTTAAGTGCCTTCAGGTGCTCTTTCATTGGCCCTTCCTTCCGTATAATTTCATTTGCATCTCACAGCCATAATTGAAAATAAAATAATCCCATTTTATAGCTAGGGGCAAATGAAGCTCAGAGGTCCAAGGTTCCTTCTGTCTGTTCCACTCTTTTCTAAACTAGCACCACGAAGTCAACTCTTCCTCCCTAGGGTAGCCTTTCCCACTACCACCACCACCACCACCGTCTAGGCCCTCGGTGCTGCCCAGGAAGCCTGACAGAACATCTCCAGACTACATGTATTCTCCCTTGCTTAACCACCCACAGCAGTACCATGCCACGTGAGGGTGTGTGGCTATGGACTGAGGGCTCTCATGTCCTGCTAGAATGATTGCACACCACCTCAGGAATGAGTGCATGTCCTACGACCCAGCCACTGCACTTAGATTTGACTGCTAACCAGAAGGCTGGCAGTTCAAACCCACCAGCCACTCCTCGGAAGGAAGATGGGGCAATCTACTTCCGTAATGATACTGCCTTGGAAACCCAAGGAGGGGTCGCTGTGAGTTGGGTCCGACTTGACGGCACATAACAGCAACAACAGGGCATGCTTACACACACAGACCAGGAGACAGGCACCAAAATGTTCCCTGTTCCTAACAGACAAAAATGGAAACAACCCCAACACCCATCAAAAGAATATCCACACAACAGAGTATTATGAAGCAGGGAAGGTGTATAAACATTCATCAAGGCTGAAAACCAGATGAGCAGAGTGAGACACAGAAGACTGAGTAGGATGAAACCATTCTTGTGAGACTCTAGAATAGCACAATAAAACTGTATTTGGGAGGAATAAAAAATGTGAGAAAATAGAAAAAAGCTAATAAGAAAATTTAGGGTAGTGGCTCTCTAACCATAGTGGACAAAGGCTGGAGTGATGGGACAGGCAATACTGATTACCACAGGTAACACTGCTACTGGAGACATCCTAGTTAATCTGAGGTGGTTCGTAACTTAACGTATGTTAGGTAGAGGGATGTATTTGTCGACTGAAGCAGGACACTGGCGTCCTGGGTTTCAAGCCCACTGCCCAGCTGGACAAGACAGGCTCCAGAGTCTTCCCAATGGCGGAGCCCTTCCACGTGTCCGTGTCTGCAATGCATGACCGGGGAGTACCTGGCAGGGCTCAGGGGGCACCCCAGCGGCTCAGTCACCACTACAGAACATTGCCCGTCGGGGTCCTTCCAAAGACCTCCCAATAGTTGGTCCCGAGTTACCGACGACGTGAAAACTTGAAGATGGCTTAGAGAAGACAGACTGGGGAATGGAAGTGCTTCAGCTCGGGCTGGGAGCTGTCTGGCTCAGCCAGTGTGAGAAAACCCGGCTGAGAAAAGCCCATCAGGCCCTCTTCACTGGGGGAGAGCCTGCCCCAGACACAACAGCACATGCTTCCAAGCGTGGACATCTAGATGCAGGCCACTAGGTGGGCGACCTGCCGTCCGCATCAGCAGGGAAATGCGATGACTCCTTCAAACATCGCCCCCCCACGTACCCTCTGCATGTACCTTTCACTTTTATGAAATTTGCAATAAATCACCATTCTTAAACTGTTTTTCATTTTTTTTTATTGCTGTTAATTCAAGGAAAAAGGTTGCATAAAATCCAATCTGTTCTAGAAATATAAGTGGCCTTTCCAGTACATAACATTTCAGATATCAAAGTCTACGGTAAACATACAAATAAGGAGAAGGTCCCATCCCTCCCGTGTACAGTACAGTATTGAACTCCTCAGATAAGCTTCATAAAGTACAGGGGGCGAGTGGTCCCCGGGCAGTCCACCTGTGGCTCATCAAAACTCCCACCGCAACGACTCAACTACAAGCTAACAGTTAATAAGGTGGTCCAAAAATACCAAGAGCAAATAAAATAGACTTAATCAAAATAATTTCCTTTACTCAAACTTCTCTTTTTAAATTAAAGCTTTCATCTGCCCCTTCCACCCACCCCCTTCCCCTTCCTCACACCTCCCGCCCCTGAGGCAAAGTTCCAAGGTGTGCACTGGTGCTAGGAAGCCCTGAATCGGCTTCTTTGCTTCAAGTTTCTCCTTTTGTCTAGCGGTCTGTTAGGCTCCTGGGCCGGGACCAAACATATCAGCTCCTCTGCTGCACACCAGTGTGACGCCACACAACACAGCCCCTCCGCCCGCCCCCGCTCTGTCAGCCCGTGGCCGACCCGACAGGGACAGCTGTGGTTTGCTGCTGACTGCAGCAGTCCAAAACACCCACTCCGTCTCCAGATAACCTCAGTGCACTTTAGGAAATCAAAATTTACCTGGAAGCAATTTAGTACATAGACTGGCTTTTAAAAAAACTTTTTTTAAACAGCAGCATTTTAAACTTAGTGACACGACACTGACATGATTAATACCGTCTGCATGCCCAGGAATCAGGCTTTCTCCTTGTAGTCAGTGAGCACAGCGGGGAACGGTTACAAAGTGACCTTGCTACCAGAGATGGGGAGGGCACGAATACAGACTTGTGTAGACACCCAGGCTTCGGCTCCAGTTGGGCTTGAGACAGAGCACACACGTCTGAACACAGCGGGACACTGTAACAGTTGGGACAGGAAAGGAGTTCACCTTGACTGAGTAGTGTCTCTTTTACCACAACACAGTAGTAGACTACAGCCAGTACAACTGGCGGTGACGTTCCTCACAAACACAAACACACAGGCGGCAACAGTCACACCAGCTTGTTCTCTTTGTGTCTCAGAAGCAACAGGCCAAAAAGTATGACGGAGTAAGTACAATGTTTATGGGTTTTTGTTTTGTTTTAAGAAAAAGCTCTTTGTCCATTTCATACTCGATTTCATTTTCACATGGTTTCACTTCTTCCTCTCTCTTCCACTTGTCCTGTGTTGGATCTGGACAAGCAGCACTGCACAGATGTGCTGACAGGATGCACACTGTGAGGGGAATCCGGTTTCTCCAGTAAGATTAAGCGGAGGACATTTTAACCCTTCATCCCTCTGTACGGGCAGTTGACAAGTGTGGACAAGCGCACTGCCAGGCCCTCCTGCAGGCCGAGGAGGAGGAGGGAGGTGGGCGGGAGGGGAGCCACGGTCACTTCGGGGGGGAAAGTGAGAAAAGCTGGGGAAGAAGCAAAGTTGTTTTGTTTTTTTTCCCCTAAAACCATATGACGTCACCAGTGTTGTAAAAAAGGTCAAATACAGTTTTCAAGTAAACATTGCACACAGCAAATATTCAGTGTAACCAAAAAAAAAAGCACACATCAATATTTTGTTTGATCAGTTTGTTCACATGTTTGAATGACATGTATCGTACGTGGAAGCCTGCTGTTGAACCGGGAGACCCGAGGCTCCAAGCATCACCTTCTCCCTTTGCTGTGGACACTGGTACAAGAGAATGAAAACTCCCAACTGCATAGAAATCTAGGAAACGTGAAGACAAAAACACCAACCAAATACCTTTCCTTTCCTCCCGTCCACAGACCACCCTAACTTGCCCACGCTTCAGGGTATTAAGTAGGCCAGCTTTACTTGTTTCAGTCTGCAGAATCCAACGTATCATTAGAAGGGGGGAGGGGAGGTGCGTACCTCAGTCTGTAAGTGCCTAAAATGGGAAAGACAGAACTGCTAAGTCATGGCGTACATTCAACGTATCACAAACCACTACAAGCTACCCCATGGGCATGCTCTTCAGAAGGCACCGCCGTCAGCACGTCCGCATTACACAGCGGCAAATCCAACCACTGCAGGAAGGGACCTGAGGTCTGTGCTTGAAGTGCAACCTAAAACCATCAGCCTCTCACACTTTTCTTTAAAAATGCCAAGGGAGTACTCCCAGCTCAAGGCTTCCTTCTTTTTGGGGACAGGATTTGGCAAAAATGATGAAGGCCAAACGCAAGTCAAAGAGGACATTTGAGGTTAACACTGACTTTGGTTTCTCACTCAGACTTCCTAAGAGCATGTCTGTGCTCCCTCTAGGGGTAAGAATATTAAGCTAGTTCAAATCCCCTTAGTCCCAAAGCCATTAAATGCAATCAAATCTTAGGTCTTTTGTCGTTTGTCTGTTTTTTAAACATATGCTGGGAAGGATCGGGGGTAACAGGGATGATATGCCGGAGGCCGGCTGGTTATGCATAGATAACGCTTAAACAGTTCCTAAAAACCTTACATGTTGGATGACTAGATCATGTTCTAGTTTTTCAATATTTAAAAATTTTGCTTACGATACAAAAGAGGATTGTAGCTTTTGTAAAAGTGCTGCAAGCAAGAGCTCGGACACTGGAGAAAGCAAGTTCCCACTCCCGTCCTTGAAAAGGCATTCCTCTGGCCCCCCTTGCTCCGTGTGCCCCGGGCCTACACTAGGTCTTGGCGCCTGCATTTTATGATTTGTGACTGGAACCACAACACACGTAAGTGAGCACACAACAGATGTTTCTGCTACCACAGAATCACCATGGTCACTAGGGTCAGGAGACAAACTCAGAAACAAGTCCTCTGTGAGCTATCGTGATTACCTTGTGGACTGGCCTCCATGGATGACTGCTTACAGTCCTGCGCATAGTGTCCGCTTACACCACAGTTGTAACAGGACACGTTCCCATTCTTCTTGGGCCCTGAACCGTTGGTGTTGGCAACTACACTAGGTGCTGGGTACACGGGGTAGAACCTCCCAAATCCTGCCATCTGCTGCATGCCATAGTTGGCTTGGCTCCCCATGACGGGGTCATGCATCAGTCCGTTTGCATATGGTGTCTGAGGCAGAAAGAAAGGAAGTTGGTTTCCATTGCTCTGATGTGCTTGGTTGAGGTAGCTGCCGTTGCAAATGGATGGCAGGGTAAAGAAGGATGGGACTCGGTACATTGGTCCAGGCATCGGATTAGGATAATAGTAACTGCTGAGCTGAAGGTTCCCATTGGTCCCACAGCTACACCTTCGCCCGCAAGAACCACAGGGACCGGAGCCCAGCTGTTGGGGCGGCAACATTGTCCCGTTAGCGTTCGTATTACCCACTGCACTGATGTAAGATGTGCTGTCGCTCTGAGCAGTGCTGTGTGTCAAAGCGGGGCTCGGGCTGGGGGCAGGGCCTGGGGTGTGGGTAGGGACCGCTGGAGGAACAGTTGGCTGGACCTGGCTGAGGCCTGCCCCTGCCGGCTGAGTGGAAGCTGCTGCCGTGTTCAGCACACTGGAACTCTGGTTGGGTAACACACTGGCAGCAAGGGGCGAGCCTGGCAAAGGGAAGGAAGCTGGTGGCTGTGCAGCTGAGAGGCCCGCTGCCGGGAGAACTACCTTCACATTGGTAGGCTGAGGGATTGTCCCCGTGTTTCCCTCAACCTGAGGCACCATTTGACTGAGTCCTACCACTTGGGATGCAGGTTTTGTGATGGGGTCTGTGGTAGCAACAGGCGATCCTGGAAAACTACCTGGGTTATGGACAGGAATGAAGGCAGTGTTTGGTGACCCGACGTTCAAACTCCCAGCTGGCTGCTGTGGGACACTGATGGTGCAGCTCTCTGAAGATCCCTGTGGCGGTGGTAATTTTAGCCTCTGGATAGTGAGGTGCAAAGCAGGAGCACTGCCATGTGGAAGGAAAGCTGACGGGACAGGTAAAGGGGAAGTCAGTAACTCGAGATGCTTTTCTGCTTCTCCAGTAGAAGCTGCTGGCCCGAGTATTCCGACAGGGCTTGAACTTGTGGACTCCCTAATCGCAGAAATAGCAACGGGACTGGGAACTAGCATCCCCATGGTTTTGCCATCCACAGTCTTGGGCGGAGGAGCAATGACATCAGGCTTCGGGGCACCGTTGTGCATGACACAGTGTAGAGTTGGCATGAAAGAAATATGCTGATACTTGGGCGAGTTCAAGGGATCTTCCAGGAGGCTTCCATTCTCATTTCCCAGTGAAGCAATGTGAACAGGCGGCTTGACAGTGACAGTCTGGTTGACAGAACTATAGCCACTAAACCTGGCTGTTGATGGATTCCCAGAGTCCTCAGAATTGCTGTCAGTATCTAGGGGAAGCAATAAGAACAGCTATTGAACACAAGGGTAAATTCCACCTTTCTTTGTAGAAACAAAATATATGAACTAAAATTAACTCGGAAGTTTGGAACTGCAGTAGATGTGTCTGTCCTACTATGTTTCCTGAGCCGCCAACCTGATCTTCTTTTCACTTTTGGCTTTCTGTAGCTCACCATGATATCCACGCATCATTTAAAAGATATGGGAAGAGAAGCAAAACAAAACATTAACTAGAGACTGAAAGAAGCACAGTGTGAAACAGAGACTCATTTAGGTCCGTAACACAGACAAGGATTATGCCCTTTTAACGTTAATCAACTTTAGGCAATCTAATGGTTTTATATTGCACACTGCCAAACTAAAGTTTTTCACATTTGATTCAGATAAATGACCAATTTAAAGGACTCAATGAAGACTGTATTTAACTCAAACACCTAAAAGGAGAGAATTGAAAAGCAGATTGTTGTTAGATTGAAATAAATAGTCTTAAAGATTTCAATAGGGGAAAGAAAATGGAGAATCAGTCTTTCTGTCATACACCAATGTGCCAGAACACCAGGAACGAGGCAGTAGGAGCCTACTGCCATGACTCCACAATCAGGAGGAAAATGGCAGGTGTGAAAAACTCCCACATCACTCCTACCCTGGTATCCAGAAATACCTTCACGTGAGACTTCCCCTGAGCTCCCTCACTTTTGATAAAAAGAGGGAAAACGATAAGATCTAATTCACAATGTATAAAAATCATAAACTCAAGACACTGCACTGATGTGTCCCTAGACCAGTCAATTAAATGTAGCATCTATTTTAAAGCACTTCTGCTGGTAAGTGTAAGCTCACTGCATGGCATACTTGTTGTTGTTGTTGTTGTTGTTGTTGTCAGGTGCTGTGCAGGCACCTCCACCTCACAGCAGCCTCGCGTACGGCAGAACCAAACACCGGCTGGTCCTGTGCCAGCCCCACGATCCTTGCTATACTTGAGCCCATTGTTGCAGCCACTGTGTCAATCCATCTTGTTAGGGCCTTCCCCTTTTTCGTTGTCTTTCCACTTTACCAAGCATGATATCCTTTTCCAAGGAATTGTCCCTTCTGCCAACATGACCAAAGTAGGTGAGACGAAGTCTGGCCATTCTCGCTTCCAAGAATTATTCTGGCTGCACTTCTTTCAGGGCAGATTTGTTAGTTCTTTTTGCAGTTCATGGTACTTTCACCATTCTTTGCCAGCACCACAACTCAAAAGCATCAGCTCTTCTTCAGTCTTCCTTATTCATTGTCCAGCTCTCACATGCATATGAGACAACTGAAGATACCCTGGTTTGTGTCAAGTGCACCTTAGTCTTCAAGGAAATATCTTTGCTCTTCAGCACTTGAAAGAGATCCTTTGCAGCCAATTTGCCCAATGCTACACGACATCTGATATTTTGACTGCTGCTTCCATCGGTGTTGATTGTAGAACACTTTGACAACTTCAATCTTTTCTCCATTTATCGTGATTGCTGCTTATTAGTCCCACTGCGAGGATTTTTGTTTTCTTTATATTTAGGTGTAATCCATACTGCCAACTGTAGTCTTCAATCTTCCTCAGTAAGTGTTTCAAGTCATCCTCACTTGCAGCAAGCAAAGTTGTGTTGTCTGCATAACGCAGGTTGTTAATGAGTCTTCCTCCAATCCTGATGGCACATTCTTCTTCACACAGTCCAGCTTCTTGGATTATTTGTTCACCATACAGATTGTGTGAGTATGGTAAAAGGATACAACCCTGACACACTCCTCTCTTGATTTTAAACCATGCAGTGTCCCCTTGTTCTGTTCAAATGACAACCTCCTGGTTTATGTACAAGTTCCTCATGAGCACAATTAACTGTTCTAAAATTCCCATTCTTCTCAATGTTATCCATAATTTTTTATGATCCACACAATCGAATGCCTTTGCACAGTCAGTAAAACATCTTTCTGGTAGTCTTTGCTTTGAGCCAAGCTCCATTTGACATCAGCAATGATATCCCTCGTTCCACATCCTCTTCTGAATCCACCTTGCATTTCTGGAAGTTCTCTATCAATATACTGTTTTTGAATTATCTTCAGTAAGATTTACTTGTATGCAATACTAATGATATCGTTTGATAATTTCCACATTCTGTGGGATCACCTTTCTTTGGAAGGGGTACAAATATGGATCTTTTCCAGTCAATTGGCCAGGTAGTTGTCTCCTGGCAGAGCCGAGTGAGTGCCTCTAGTGTAGCATTCATTTGTTGAAACATCTCAGTGGGTATCCTGTTAATTCCTGGAGCCTTGTTGTCACTTCCCTCAGTGCAGCTTTGACTTCTTCCTTCAATACCATTGGTTCTTGATCATATGCCACCTCCTGAAATGCATGAACATCAACCAACTCATTTCGGTATAGTGACTCTGTGTATTCCCTCCATCTCCTTTTGATGTTTCCTGCATCATTCAATATATTGCCCATAGAATCTTTCAATATTGCAACTCGAGGCTTAAATTTCTTCCTCGGTTCTTTCAGCTTCAGAAATGCCAAGCGTGTTCTTCCCTTTTGGCTTTCCAACTCCACCTCTTTGCATATTTCATTGTAATAATTGACTCTGTCTTCTTGAGTTGCTCTTTGCAATCTTCTGTTTAGCTCTTTTATCTTTCCATTTCTTCCTTTTCCTTTAGCTACTCTTTGTTCATAGGCAAGTTTTAGAGTCTCTTCCTGACAGCCATTTTGGTCTTTTCTTCCTTTCCTGTCTTTTCAATGACCTTTCGCTTTCTTCATGGATGATGTTCTTGATGTCATCCCACAATTCCTCTGGTTTTCGGTCACTGGTGTACAATGCATCAAATCTATTCTTTAGATGGTCTCTAAATTCAGGAGGCCTATTATCAAGGTCAGGAGCTCTGGTAGCATAGTGGCTAAGACACTTGCCTGCTAACCAGACGGCTGGCGGTTCAAACCCACCAGCCACTCCTCGGAAGGAAGGTTGGGCAATCCTACTTCCGTAGTGATACTGCCTCGGAAACCCAAGGAGGGGTCGCTATGAGTCGGGGCCGACTCAACGGCACATAACAACAACACAACAACATTATCAAGGTCATATTTTGGCTCTCGTGGACTTGTTTTAATTGTCTTCAACTTCAACCTGAACTTGCAAATGAGCAGTTGATGGTCTGTCTGTTCTACAATCAGCTCCTGGCCTTGTTCTGGCTGAAGATACTGAGCTTCTCCATTGCCTCTTGCCACAGATGTAGTCAATCTGATTCCTGTATACTCCATCTGCCAAAGCCCATGGGTATAGCCGCCGTTTGTATTGTTGAACAAAGTTATTTGCAATGAATAAGTTGTTGGTCTTTCAAAATTCCATCATGTGATCTCCAGCATTATTTCTATCTCCAAGGCCAAGTTTTCCAACTACCGACGATTCTTCTTTGTTTCCAACTTTTGCATTCAAGTCACCAGTGATAATCAGCACATCTTGACTGCATATTTGGTCAATTTTAGACTGCAGAAGTTGGTAAAAATCTTCAATTTCCTCATCTTTGGCTTTGGTGGTTGATGTGTAAATTTGAACAGTCGTAGTATTAACTGGCTTTCCTTGTAGGCATAGGGATATTATTCTATCACTGACTGCATTATACTTCAGGACAGATATTCAAACATTCTTTATGACAAAGAATGCCACACCATTCCTCTTCAATTTGTCATTTCTGGCATAGTAGATCATATGGTTATCTGATTAAAATAGCCAAAACCGGTCCATTTCAGTTCACTAATGCCTAGGATTATCAACCTTTATGGGTTCCATTTCATTTTTGACAACTTCCAATTTTCCTAGATTCATGCTTCGTACATTCCATGTTCTGATTATCAATGGATGTTTGCAGCTGTTTCTTCTCATACTAAGTCGTGCTACTTCAGCAAATGGAGGCCCCAAAAGCTCTACTTTATCCATTTCTTTAAGGTTAGCTCTACTCTGATGAGGCAGCTCTTTCCCAGTCATATTTTGAGTGCCTTCCAACCTGAGGGGCTCATCTTTCGGCACTGTATCGGACAATCTCTCAGGGCTATTCATAAAAATTTCCAGTAATATATCAGACAGTGTTTCACTACAATTCATAAGGTTTTCACTGGCCAATTCTCTAAGAAATGGATGGCCTCTTCCTTCTTCCGAGTCTGTCTCAGTCTGGAAGCTCCACCAAAAACCAGTCCACCATGGGCATCCAGGCTGGTGCAGCCTCCAGCCTCATAGCAACATGGAGCCACCACAGTACAACAAAGTGACAGACAAGTTCATCTCCTAGCTGTTCCAACCCCTCCGCTCACTCCCTGGGCTTCCCCCGACCTGTTCCTGCTGGCCCTGTCTACTGCTGCTCCCTGCCACCTGGGGGCTGTCCCCCCTCCCACCCGCCTTACCTGACATACTTAAGATGTTTATATTTATCAAGGTAATGTTGTTGTTGTTGTTATGTGCCGTCGAGTCAAACCCGACTCATAGTGACCCCCCTCCTTGGGTTTCCAAGGCAGTATCACTACGGAAGTAGATTGCCCCATCTTCCTTCCGAGGAGTGCTGGTGGATTTGAACCGCCAGCCTTCTGGTTAGCAGTCAAATGCCTTAGACACTATGCTACCAGAGCTCCTAATATATTCAGTTTAAAACGTTTGATTTTCCTGAAAGAGAAAACTAAAAACAAATCAGATTCATCTTTTTGGAGAAAGGTTAAGTAGATCTACCTACTGCCATAGTTACCAAGTCACGTATTTTAATTGATGTTGGAGATTAAATTAATGAGAAAACAGTTCTAGGATAAACTTCCCTAGTTGGGATGTTTTCTGCTACACTATGCAAAACAGGAAGTATCTACAGTGTAACAACTGATTCATGACACTACACCTGTACCATTATACTAGTGAAGAGTCAAAGATTAATATTTAAGTCCAAAAGAAGCTGCAATGTTTCATATGGCTAATTAAATTTCTATATAAACTGAGCTTTGTTTAAGTTATAGCTAAGGATCCCATGATTTTAAATGGTGCCCAACAGTTTTCAGAACATTTTAAGGACTCGACTAGTTATTGAGCAATAGGTGTCATCCTTTTATACACTGACTTTTTAAAGTATAAAGCCTCAAAAAGAACACAACGACAAAACCCACCACTACAACCACTCAGCACAAGAATAAAGTAACGAGCTTTTCAAAGCAACTGTTCATGCACTCAAACATTCTGAAAATGGCCAAAGCACTTTATCAAAGTGAGTATTTCAGTTGGTTTTAGGCCTAAATGATCCTTTTACTTAGGGAAGGCTCATTAAGTCAGTAATAACAGCCGTTCTGCAAAGGGACAAACTCCTCTGCAGAGGACCCTCAACTGATGCTGCGTGACAACAGGAAACAGATGCTACAAAGTTCTCCAAAGCTCACAGAAGAACCCAAATGACCGCCACCCTGAGGCCAGATCTGCACCACGGGCTGCAAAGCCACAGAGGTATCTGTACATCCCACAGGATCAGCCGTAACATGGGACACAAGACCGGCCCACAGCCTGCCTTCTCGGGGGATGGCAGACAGACTCTCTCAGCTTGCCTTCCCAACAGCTCATGAGGTCACTTCCCTTTGTTCTCTCAGGAAGGAAGTATCCGTCAGAAATGTGGTGTTCCTCAGCCTAGGCGAAATGGTGACAGAGTCACTACATGCCACATTTGGTATGACTACAAAATAACTACAAAGCAGGCTGACTTTAATGGTATGTGACGGAACAACTCAACTCCATTGATCCACAAACACGACCTGATAGTTTAAGACAGAAGTTGAGTCTGGAAGACAGAAGCTATACCTGAAGAAACTATACCTGCCTGAAGCTCTGTGGGCTAACACCACAGATGAAGGTGACCCAAGAGCAACCATGTGATTCTGCCCGGCATGGGTTCATCTTATGTCCAAGTATTACCAGTCGGGTGCTATTAACACATGCTAAGAACTCCATCCTCATTTAACATACTTCCTAGGATACTGTACTTCCAGGATGTGAGGAGAGATCACCAAAAATCCTCTCCTCCATATAAGCAACAAGAACACTGGCAAAAAAATCTCAAAATCAACTTTCTCAGAATGCTGGAAATTAACTAAACACATGCTATAGACCTCTTTCAAGTACTGAAGAGCAAAGACATCTCCTTGAGGACTCAGGTGTGCCTGACCCAAGCCATGGTATTTTCAATCACCTCATATGCATGTGAGAGCAGGACAATGCATAAGAATGAAGAAGAGTTGATGCTTTTGAGTTGTGGTGTTGGTGAAGAATGCTAATGGTACCATGTAGACTGATAAAAGAACAAACAAATCTGTCCTGCAAGGAGTGCAGCTGGAATGCTCCTTGGAAGCGAGAATGGCCAGACTACGTCTCGCCTACTTTGGTCATGTTGGCAGAAGGAACCATTCTCTGGAGAAGGATGTCATGCTTGGTAAGATGGAGGGTTGACAAAAGAGGGGAAGGCCCTCAACAAGATGGATTGACACAATGGCTGCAGCAATGGGCTCAGGTATTGCAAGGATCATAAGGCTGGCACAGGACCGGGCAATGTTTCATCCTGTTGTACATAAGGTTTCTATTGAGTCGGAGACAACTAGACTGCACATAACAATGACAACGATGCAACAATCCGCATTTAAGTAAAAATGGCGAGTCTTGTGATGTTTTAATTTGTCCCAATTCCATCTTCCTTTCTCCAGCTCTCAGACATCCTTGAAAACTACCAATTCTTTGGGGCTCTGCACAAAGAAGAAGACATAAGACATACAGAAAACAAACAGCATAAGGGTACATGAAAACCCTACCTTACCAGCAATCACAAGAAATGGAAATGGATTATACATCCACTCCAGTCAGAGTAGAGAGTGGCAGAATGCATTTTTCAAAAAAAATGATCCAACTATATGCTGTCTACAAAAGATACATCTTAGATTCAAAGACACAAATAAGTTAAACCTAAAAGGTAAAATGATGGACAAAGAGATGCCATGTGAACAGTTTCAAAAGAAAACTGGAGTGCTTATTACGGGAGAGAGAGAGAAGGTATTTTATGATAAAAATGTCAATCGATGAGGAAGACATAAAAATCATTTTCAATCTTTCTACACTAACTCTACATTTTGTTACAATTCTGCCTTCTTTCTACCTGATTTCATATATACTGAGTTACTTTAAAATCAACATTGCCAGAAACTGCTAAGGGATTGGTTGTATGGTATCTTTTGTATCAATTAAACTAAAAATCAATACTGACATTTACAGGAACATAAAGTGCTTATATTTGAGTCTGACTTTAAGAGACAATACCCATTTCCCTGCACTACTCCCCAGTTCCACTTGGGCCCCACCCCCACCACCAAATCGCAAACCTCTGTCCTTTTCTTCTTCACTCTCAAAGCTTTCTCTTCCATCGTGTTGTGGACTAGATGGGGAACTGTAACTCTCTGAAGATGTTTCACCACACGTATCATGTCCAGACCCAATGTCCAAATTCACATCTAAAAACAACAACTCCATTTTAAAAAAATGAGGCCAAGTAGTTAAAATGACTTGCTGAATTAAATCATTAGAAATTAGCTACAGCTGTAAATATGTTTTTCAGTTTTCCTACAGCCACCTAAAAAGCTTGCCCGCGATCTAGGTGAAAATTCATTATTAAACCCTAATTCTTCCTTTCGAAGAGTGGCTTGGTGGGTTTGAACTGCCAGCCTTCTGGTCAGCAGTCAAATGCCTTAGGCACTATACCACCAGAGCTCCTAATTTTAACTGAAATAGGTAATAATTCTTGAACCAATGGTATAGAGGAACAAGTCAATCTAATGGACTTTAAGAAACTGGTAGGTTCTGTGCTGGAAACCTTCCATGAGGGTGGCCTGCAAAGACACTGGAAGATCTTCCTTCCAGGTCACCGAGTCTCTACTCTGGAGCAGAAACTGGCTTGAGAAGGAGACAAGTTAGGAGACAGTTGTCACCAAAGAAAGGGAAAAGGTAGGTACTAAACATAACAGTGGCAAAGGAAATATTGGCCTATACAACTAAATTATATTGCTTCAACTAATTCCATCAACGTCTCTGAACTGTTTAATTCATAAATTGCTTTATATCAACACAAGGTCAAAGTATCTTAGGATGTGTCACTGCAGCTCAGCATCCACTGATATGGTAAGTATTGTGCTGAGTACACTTAGGCGATGGATGTTTGAAAGAAAAAACACCTTCCTTACCTTTCGCAGAACCGTCATGGCCACGCTGAGGGCTGGAGAGTCTAAGGCCATTTATTCTACTATTCAATCTGCTGTCAGTTTTCTTAATTTTCTCCCTAAATTGAATATATACATGTTACCAACATTTTCCATATGGTTCTCTACCAAGCGCATTAAGTACAATATTAGCAAAATCCCTCTTAGAAATTTTTTTGTAATTAATTTTTTTCAGATCCACCTTTGAGAGCTTTGCCCCTCCAAACAGAACAGACCACTTGACAACACCTTCATCACTTGTATACATGAACATTCTGAACTCAGAAAATAAAGTCCAGAATGAAAATGTAAAGGAAACTGACAGAAAGATACTAGTCATACACAAAGTAAACAAGTCCACAGTAAAATGTGATATGCTGGTGTCTTTCCTCACCAAGCTCCACCACTGGACACATTAAATCGAACCTACTTTTCTATTTGTGGCTTTCCTTTCCTCTTTGTTACTGAAGATAAGCTCCATTTGTCAGCTGAATGCTGGTAAGAAGAAGAAAAAGAAATCAGACAAAAAGCTCAACCACAGCCATGTCAACACCCTCTTACTCTGATCACAGACATTAACATGGGACCCTTCTCAACTGGACATTGTAATAAACTTTTATTTCCAACCTATTTTGAAATCATCTACCTTAACCATTACATTTTGCATTTTCTGTGACAAATACTTAATATTAATCATAAGAAGAATATCTGTTTTCTATTTTGCTTTTAAAATGGACCTGTATCCTTCCATCTGACCACAAAACAAAAAACACAATGAAGTGACTGGCATTTGCTACAGGCTTCCTAACATTCTCTCAAAGTAAGGGCTAGTAAAACCAATAACACACATTTTTTGTTAACTCCACAAAGGTGGAAAATCAGATAGGTTTTGAAAATAAGTATGACTGAGACAACTTCCACTTTCTCAAAATATGCTTTAATGCTTTAGTTCATAGACACGTTCCAAGCAAGTTAACATTTGGGTCTATGTGCTGGCCAGAGACAAAATTAGGTTAACAAATCTACTTTCTAGGCAGAGGAAGAAGAGTCTCTTCATACCAGCAACAGTAGGATTTCCCCCATGTCTGTGGTACCGTATTACACTCAACAGACTTAAGAACGTTCTACTCTCTGTACCCCAATCAAAAGTATTTCCTCATTACATGCAGAGGTGCTAGTAACTTGGCCCAACCATTCACTCACAACAGCTTTAGAATCCACACCACCAAGAGCAAGACCGCGATTGAAATGGAAACAATGATCCCAAAAGTGAGAACATGTTCAGGCTAACAACAGGATGGGCCCCAAGTTAGAATAAACATTCTAGGTGGGTCACAGTACAGTATACTCATCTGATGTGAACAACAGCCGTAATCTACATACACTGTTTTCAGTTCTCAGAAGAGCTGAGATCGTGTAAAGTAGTTTAAAATCTAACATTTGAACTTGTCTTCGTTTTTTCTTGCCACATATACTACCCTGACAGAAGGTTTCTGGAACTCAATTTTCTTTTCAGTAGTAAATATTTTTAACTACATAGCAACAAAGAACAAACAAAAACAACCCTATACCTGGTCAGTTAAGGTCACACAGTGCTCTGGGTGCTGTACTGTGGTATAGCTTTGCTTCCTCCAATCCACAATTCCATTCTGTTCAGAATATTGCACGGTAAACCCATCTAATGGAGAACAACTCGTACCAACAGTGCTATCAAAAGAAAAGTTTATATGGCTTTAAAGTATGAAAATTTGTCCTTGACAATCAAGTCTGTTACGTTATACAATGGAGAAGTTATAGTCACCTTTTCTTCAGCATAATAGTTTTTTATAGACTGCCTAGTGGTAGGTCTAAGGAAGAAAAACTATGTATTCTGTGAAGTGAACTGGTACACATCTATTTCATCCACTTAATACCCAGCACCTGTCTCCAAAGAAACACCTAACAGATGCACTTAGCCCCGTTACAACCATCTGCACCACTGATAGCTGGGAGACAGTGAGGCAGAGAACCTCACCAGAGAGCACTTCTGTACTAAGCACCCTACGTAAGAGGCAGATGAAGGCAAAGGACAGTGTGACTGAAACCAAGGGAAACAGACAAGAAAAATTGACCTGGGCAGGCTCCAGATGATGGTGTTAAGGGGCACGGACTTGAAAATCCCCACGCTTACTGTGCTCAAAGAATAAGAAAAGGCTGAGAGTTTTGAAAGAACACTGGAAAATTAAAAAAAAAAAAAAAGAACTAAATTTAAATTCTAGAATGTTAAAAAAAAAACACCTGAAGTTCACAACTCAATGCATGGGAAATGCATGGAAAAAAATAGTGATGAGGAAATTTGGTCAGAAGAAAATAGTTGGAAGCATTGATAGGAAAAAACAGAAGGAAATAAAGAAAGCATAGAAAAGACGCATGGAACATGGTGAAAAGTCTAATGTGCAAGGACTTGGAGTCTCGAAATGGGCAGCAGCACAGTTCAAGACTAAGTCTGAAGCCAAGATACCCCAAGCTACAGACTGCAGAAGCAGAACTAATCCCAAGAAAATCACAAAGCATGCCACAGGAAAGCTGATCAAAAGCAGACAATGGGGGAAAAACAACTTCAATCAGAGGGGAAAGAAAAAACAAACATTACCTTCAAAGTAATGAGGGTGACAGAAACAACAGAAGCAGACAGATGTCTTCAGTTTGAGTACATCCCCCATCACGGAAGCAAGAGTGAGAGGCGGGAGAGTCAGAAAGGAAAGGAGGCAAAACCAACAGAAGCGTCCATCATGAAGACTGCCATACAACTGCTGGTCCAGCCCAGAACACGCTCCCCACAGGACAGGAAGCTGGAGCTCGCCAGCGCTGGAGTGCCAACCCTGGCGGGGAAAATCCCTTTCACTTCTGGAACAGGGCTTATTCAAGGGCCTAGAAGACTCAGAAAGGCCCTGAGGCAGAACTGACAGACTTGTGGCCCAAGCCCGAAGTGGGACAGCCTCACTAGGAGGCGAAGGTGGGCGCCTGCAACCAAAATCAGAGGGGAGCTGAGAGGGCACAACACAAGGAGCAAAGCATCAGGCCAGGAGTGCATGCAACCAAAGGTTCAAAGCCCTGGCAGAAAGGGACTGCCAGCCTAGAATCCTACACCCAACAAAGCAACCAAAGGTTCAAAGCCCTGGCAGAAAGGGACTGCCAGCCTAGAATCCTACACCCAACAAAAACAGCTTTTAAACAATAAAGGCATAATAAGCGCCCCCCCCAAAAAAAAACCAAGTGAACTTCTCACTGGCAGACTGACTGCAGAAAATACTAACACATCCGTTAGAAGGAAAACAATCACAGATGAATGTTTAAAAGTACCAGGAGTGAAGAGCTATGGAATGGGTCAGACCTAAGTGATTACTGAGAAAAGGTTTCATAGCTTATGATATAGAGTTACTGTACCCAATAGCTCTGATGTGGACATCGGAGGGAAATAAATGAAGGCACAGTGATCTGAGGTCCTCAACTTGTCTGGAAGTGGCACGGGAGCAAATTAATTAATCAGACATTAATGAATCAAAGACGCGTAAGCATCCGTAGGGTAACACTGGAAGAAGGGGATCTCAATGTTTAACCACCGAGGCAAACGGAAGAGAAAAGCAGAATTAAAAATCTGCAAGGAGAGAAAAAGAAACAGAAAAGATAGGCCAAACAGAAAGCAAGCAGGAAAATGGCAGACTTAAACCAACTACATCAGTAATTAAGTGAAATGCGACACCAGTTTAAAAATGCATCAAGAGTTTCTATTTTAGAAATTAGATACTTACTTCACCAGGGGACTTTTCCCAGTATGTTTCTTGTGGATTATGGTGTGCTGTAAGACATCTAGAGGAGGGGAAAAAGTAGTTAATTTATTACACAAAATGTAAACGCTTCAGCAAGAAACCAGAAGAGTGACACACGCTTGTGTCATCAGGCAAAAAGGCTCTGCTAACCAGCAGGAAGAGACTGCACAGGCGCTTTGAAGCATTTAATGTTAATTTCTCAACACAGAACATTTCTTAAAGAAGCAATTTTTCAAAGATAGGCTGCTGAATTCCTTAAATATCCTCTCCAATGCATTCCATCCGACAGCAAATCAATCTCGTCTGAAGCTATGAAAAGTCTAATAGGAGCATCTGCTGCAAAACCACAACCTTCCATGTCCGCCACAACTTTATCTTAAACCATTCAAAAGCAAAGCGTTTCAAATAGTCAAAATCCACCTATCAAAACAACAAGCAAAATGAGAGCTTAACTCCTACATTTCGCTACATATGCCTTTTTTAAAGAAACAGAGTCCCACAGACATACTCCAAGGCCTTTCTCTCTGTCTTCCCTCCTTCCACAGAAATTAATTATCAACTAGTCCCCTGAATTCCACTGAAGCAGTCTCCTGCGTGATTTCCCGTGTTCTAGCCATGTATGTCCCTGTTCATAAACAGGCACAGTGCTGGCGCCTGTCTGCGTACTCTACTTTCACACCAATAATATGTACATGGTTTTTTCAACTGCGTAGCACCCCCCGCCACCATTTTCCTACGTGTGCCATGCTGTGTATTTTATATGCGCATGTTATTTACATTTACTTTATTTGCAAAAAACATGGTACATACTATAAATATTCTTTATTTTAATTGTCATCTACAATGATCACACCACAACTTATTTAGAGCTTTACTAACACTTAAAACGCTTAGGTTATTTCCAGCTATTGACCATAAGCATCCCATCCATATCCCGTTGAGTACAGGCACAACAATTTATGAAGCAGAGCTGATAGAATGTGGCATAAAATATCCCCAGCTTTGCTACATGGTGTCAAATTTCTTTCCAGAATTGCTGTGACAATTTACACTCCTGTCAGCAGATGCGCCTTCCCTTATGCAGCATCCTTGATAATCTGAGACTTCAATTATTTTTCTACTCTATCAATGGCACTGAGTTTGGATTTTTTTGGTTTATTGAGCGTGAAATGTAACTCAATTGTTTTAATTTGCATTTTCCTGAGTACTGGTCAGGCTGAACCCCGTTTCACGTCCACTCCGGTTTCTTCTTCTATGAATTGCCTATTTATGTCTGTCACCCACACTTCTATTGGTTGATTATCTCACTGACTTGCAGGAGGATCATCTCCCACTCTGTGGCCTGACTTCTAACTATATAATTTCTCCCAGCACATGTAGGTTCTAATTGAGATCAGTAAGATTTCCACTACAGTCACACTCTGCCTTTAGGAAATCCTCCTCTCCCAGATCTCTCATACTTTCTTCTCAATGTTTAAGCTGTCTTTTAAATATTAAGTTGTTACTCACATGTAATTTCTGGGCATGGTGAGTAGGGATTTTATATATATATACTTTTTCCTTATGGAAATTTTGCCAACACCATGTATTGAATATTTCATCCTTTCTTCACTGATCTGTAATGCACCTCTGCCACATTCCAAGTTCTCATGTCTGTTTCTTGGCTCCTCACTCTGTCCAACGGTCTATTTACCCATCCCTATGCCAACATCAGGAAGAATGTCTTCTTCCAATGAATCAGCACTTACCTTCTTCCTGACTTGAAGCTTCTGAGCTGTCTTCTTTTAAGTGTTCTAGTATCTTGGAAGTCTTCAGAGAGGACTGTAAGTTATCTGCAGGAAGAATTCAATGTTATTAATTTCTTAGAAAAATTACAGTAGAAGGTTCAATTAATATGATTATTTTTTCCCCCAAGGAAGACGAGAGCAGACAGTTAGTAGTGAAGAAAACATTTCTACTAGTTAGACCTTTTAGGAAAGCAAGATGACAAAGCATAAAACAGTGGACTCCTGGGGTCGGCTCGCCCCAGAGGAACCACACAGCCCGAGCAAAGTGCTTCCTAGTGGCCAGCCTGGTTTGCTGATGGGTGAAATGAGGATGACAGACTAGACAACCTGTGGTGGGCAGAGGTGGTGTTGTCGTGTTTGTGATTTCCAGTTTGCTGTGGACTGTTACTTCCGTAAAATACAGTTATGCTGTGGCAATGTCAAGTTACCACAGAAAAGTCTCAGTATCTACACTAGTAGACACTGAGTGGCAGGCAATCTGTGGATCTGCACTGAGCCACACAACACATTAGGGAGCACTAAAGTTACTTCTCCACTAAAACACTGAGTGGTGGGACTCCAAAGTTCAACGTTTTCTGTTATTTAGGAATTTAATACTTTTTCACTCTGGGTTAGCTATGAGAATATGATGGATTGCTCCCTACCCCAGGCAAACAAGAGCTATTGATTTTCAAAAATGAAGTGCAGGCAAATGACGCTTCCCCACCACTCTCTTCTCTGGTGAAACAATTCATGCAGGAACATATCCTGATGGGCTTGTCCTTAATCCCAAATCACGTGTTCTCATACAGGCAGTCCCCATGGATTTTGAGCCAAAACAGCACTGCCCTGCTCCAAGATGGCAGCCATCTGTGCTGATTTGAGTGTGTGTGGCTCTCCGTGCTCCTGCCAATAATCCAACCTCAGCCATCAGGCTCTGGCAAGAGCTCACTACACCTCTGCACAGAGAACTCCCATTCCAGCTCCAACGACACTGTTCCTGTTTGTTACCATGAGGAATCACTCGCATTATAAAAATCCAGGTCTGTTCCTGTTTCACTTCAGGACAGAACTGGTTAGAATGGGTTGGAATTCCTGCTTAAAGGGCACAGAGGAGTTGTAAGTTGGACATTTGTAACCTGAGGACTGCCTACTTTATTCTGTTAACAGTCTGATACCTAAACACAAACTCTACTGACCTCTAAAGCACTGCATGCTATCAGAGCTCTTCAAATGTTTTGTTACTTGTATATAAACTATTCACACAATTGAGTTTTCTGAGCAGCCTGTTAATCTCAAGGAAAAGTGTAACTTTTTGCTTCAAGCCTTTGTATAATTAAAGAGACATTTTTATAACATTCATTAAAAAGTATTCATACTGGGTTTAGGCAGAAAGTACTGAATGTTAAATCTACGTATCTCTAGAATAACAAGGATTCTCATTTTTATTTTAAGGAAAAAAAAAAAGAGCAAAACTTCTGCCAATGTTTAGGAATAAATTTAACCACGGAGTTGTTTACTTTGCCTCAGTCAACTAGTCATGAAGAGTCATGAATTTTAATTCTAATCGCTAATAACCTGTTAAAAATACTTAAGGCATGTATACACAATTAGAAAAACTTTAAATTGAGAAAATATGCATTTTTGTCCCCCTTCAGGTGATGGAAAATAGAACTTTGTTGAAAGCAGAAAGGATTTAAAGAATAAAAAAGTTCCTTATTATAGTGGCTGTACTTAAAGAGAACAGAAATTTTCCTAAAACACTCATCATTTTTATTGACAAACTGGTTAAAAATGAAAGCTCAGAGAGACATGCATGAAGCTAAACCATAAGGTGGACTGCGCAAATGCTGCAACCCAGGGCAAACTGACCTATGGGAATGTAAGAAAAACTTGGAAAGCTTCACAGAAGAGGTGGTATTTCATCTGTCTTCAAATAAGTGTGATTTCAACAGGCTGCGACAAAAGGAGTGTGTATAGTGAAGAATTAACCTGCCCCAAAGAGAGGTCTGGCCTTTGCTCTCTAAGCCCTGGGAATGTGTTGCCTGGTAGAGTGTGCTTGTTTTCCTGTGGGTCTCAGGCCACATCAGACAGTCTGAAAATGTGATTTATTGGTGGTGGCTTCAGCTCAACCTATAGCAACATCATGATACTTGAAGAAAAGAATGAAATTGCCAAGGATTTCGTTTTACTTGAATCCCCAAATCAACACCCATGGATGCAATGCCAAGAAATCAAATAGCATATTCCATCAGGCAAATCTGCTGCAAAAGACTGCTTTAAGTGTTAAGAAAAGACGTCACTTTGAGAACTAAGGTGTGCCTGACCCAGGTCATGGTATTTTCAACTACCTCATATGCATGTGAAAGCTGGACAATGAATAAGGCAGACTGAAAAAAAATGATGGTGTTGATGAAGAATAGTGAATATACCATGGACTGCCAGAAGAATGAGCAAATGTGTCCTGGAAAAAGTACAGCCAGAAGCTCCTTAGATGAGAGGACGGTGAGACTGTGTCTCACATACTTTGGACATGTTATCAGGAGGGACCAGAACCTGGAGGACGACGTCATGCTCAGTAAAGTCAGACACACACACATAAAAGCAAAAAAGACGACTGTCGATGACATGGATTGACCCTGTAGCTTTGACCACATGCTCAAGCATGGCATAGGACTAGGCAGTGTTTCATTCTACTGTACACATGGTCAGAGTCGAAAACTGCCTTGACAGCACCTGACTTAAGCTCAACCTCCAAAGCAGCAGGAGACTGAAGTCAAGCCAGGCAGGTACCTAACCACGCCCATGTGACCAGACCCAGTTTAACGTCAGGCACCGAGGCTCAGGTCAGCAAGACTCCATGCACACTGTCACTCGTTGCTGCTGGCAGGAGTTAGTGCTGTCCACAACTGCACTGGGGGAGGACCGCTGCCAGCTTCACATTTCAAACTTGGCTGGGTTCTGCTCCACGTGCTTCCTCCCTGGGCCGATTTGTACCTTTAACCTTTGGCTGTTATAAACCATATGCGCAAATTAACAGCTTTCAATAAGCTCTTTGAGCCCGTCTAGTGAACTGTTGAACTTGAGGGTGGTCTTGGGAATCCCCAAACTCGCAACTGGTGAAAAACTGGGTGATCTTGGGGACTAATGCATGCTCAGGAGGACATTAAGGTCAGAGTCCAGAATGAGCAAAGACCCTGGGACAGAGATAGGAAGGTGCACAGAGTAAATGCTGATGCCTTCGAGTAGTCAGAGCACAAAAGGTCAGAAAGGAGGCCTAGAAGCCCACAGCAGGGCTGGATTTTCTGATCTAGGGTCTGAACTGGGGATTAACCATCAAATTTAATTTTGAGCTCATCCTGTAATAGGTTAAAATAGAGCAAGAAACTGCAATCTGAGAGAAGAGCTAGGATTCACAGATAACTAACTTACACATGAACGCAAGGCCTAATCTAAAACAATGGGAAACCAAGGTGAAGGTATACTTTGTGCAGCATGGCTTGACCTGTAATCGCAGACCGAGTATGAAGAGGAAAAGCGAAAAGAACAGGCTAATGTTTCCAGCCAGGGACTCTGGGCGGTTGGGGAGGTCATTAACGGGGTTAGACAACACAGGCGAAAAGGCAGATTACAGACTGTCCATCATGCAAACCACACTAAACACCTCTCCTTCTATTAGTGCCTCTGTCCAGCAGCTCAGGGATCAACTAAGTCCAAAAGCTTTTGAGGTGTTTAGACTTTGCCTTTCAATCAGCCTGGTTTGTTACATTAGTATTTATACATTGATTTCTTAAAAAAAAAAAAAGTGCAGTGTCCAATTTCATTAAAAATGACAAGTATTTCAGAATTATATGCCACTGCTCCCTGGCTTTACGTAGAAGGACAACCCCATACAAGCTGGCCCGGTAAAGCAAACAGAGCAAGCAAGGGAAAAGGTGTGATTCATACAGAGGAACCAAAGGGTGCTTACTGAGACTGTGTAAAGAATCTGATGATATGGACTGAAAAAAACTGTGTACTTTCTGACTCTGTAGAAAAGCTTGTGATGAAGTTGAAAATAGCTGCCTGCATAGAAAAAGAAAAGAGATTGGTTAATTTCATTAATACAACTCCACAAGAGCCCTGTTTAGATTATAAAGCAAACTTGAACAGCACCTGAAGTCAGGTAGAAAAAGTGTATTTTTTCCCTGAAGAAAAGAGTGTTACTTTCTAATGTATTTCCACAGGAGACAGTGAGTAAAATTTAAACCTTATTTGAAAGAAACTACTAAACAGCTTCATTTTTAATTTTTTTAATCGTATTTACTCTCATGGTAAGGTTTCAATTCTAGCAAAAATGTGTGATTACAGCCTATTGCCCAAGTGATCCAACAGCTTCCTTTCTGCTCAGAAAAAGAACAGCAATGTCTTCACTCTTCTTCACAGGTGCTGCACCATTAAGGAACCTTCCACATTCTACACATGAGAGGCTGGGAAGCTGGAGATGCCAAGAGTCCCAGGACATAGGAACTCAGTGGTCAGGTGAGTTACTTAACATGTCATAAACAGGTACTACTACATCCTCAGACAGAACTAACTGATGGCACATGTTCAGTGTATCACCGCCCCCCCATGATTCTAAGTCATTTGTTATCTTTGAAAGTCAACTTTTCTCACATTTTATTAATATATTGAAAGGATTCTAACTGGAGGTCTTCTTTACAGTAGCACCTGTAAAAAGAGTCTTGAGCACACACAGTTTTAGAAGCTGGCTCGCCCTAAGGAAGTTATTTATTTAGCCTTTCAGATGAAATTTCCTTATAGGGGACACAACTTCAAGACTGTAAAGTCTCAAATAAAATAAACTGGCACCCTGCACAGTCCTCAGGTGTTCAACATATAAATCCCTTCCATTATGCTCAAACACTTTAAATGCTCATGTTAAACTTTAATTAATTTCTCCCTAAAGTTTTTGATCTATCATTCAGATTAATTATAAGGTCATTAACTACCATACACCAAGAGATGTTCCTTATGGGCCAAAGTGTCTTATACATTAGGCAAAATGGAGGTAAATATCTGAGAGGAAGACAACGGGAGAAAGAATACCACCTGAGCTCTGAAGCTCCAGGCCTGACCCATCACCAAAGGCTGGGCTTACAAACCTAAAGGCAGTCGTGAGATCTACACCAGGTGACTAGTCAAAAGCATAGCACACCTTTAGCTCAAAGCCTGAGGCCCTGGTGACAGCTAACATACGATCTATGACTCCAAACGTCAACTGCATACCCATCATACACTAATGCAGAACCACCAGATGGCAATTACACCCACCCAAACAGAGCGGCCATGTCAATAAGAAAAACAGGGTTACATTTTGACATGACAAAAATCATCCACTCCCACGTGCACATTTCAGCAGTTTTCATTTTCCTAATTTATAGTGCATCTGCCACGAACTGCAGGGTGTGTCCCACACCAACCAATGGCCAGTTTACTTAAAACTCAGTTCCTACTTCTCAATTGTACTTTCTTGCCCCGTCTTTATAATAGCTACATTTCATAAGTAGCATGAATAATGAACATGACACTAAACCACAAACCCTCCCAATTCTGACTCACAGCAACCCTACAGGACAGAGCAGAACTGCCACAGGGTTTCTAAGGCTTTCATCTTTAAGGAAGCAGCTGTCACATCTTTCTCGCGCAGCTGGTGGGTTCAAACAGCCAACTTTCAGTTGATAGTCAAGTGCTGAACCAATGCACCACCAGGGCTTCTATGACAGTACTATTAATGTACAATTCAGAAACGTGAGACTCAAGAGTCCTAAGACTCTGATGACAGCATTAAGACCACAGGCCATCCACCTGGGAGAACATCTGGATACCTAGCATGCTCCTTACACCAAAATAAAATACAAAAGAACCAAAGATTTCAACATGGAAGGGAAATACTAGGGGGAAAAAAAAAAACATATTTTAAGAATATAATCTTTGAAAAGGTCATGCTAAGCAAGACACAAAGCCCTGACACCCTGACAAATCTGCCTGCATACTAGCTCCCACTGTGGACTCCTGGTTTTCATTCTCTTACTGATTTTTTAGGAGTTTGTTTCATAAGAAAGAAATTAATACCAAGTAGCTTTTCAGAACTGGAGCTTTGCCCTCACTTTGTCAATAGCGTATATTCTTTTCTATATCATGTAGAAATTAGATTTTTAAGTGTTTGAATTTCAGTTTTGCTTTAATGGATCCTACATATTGTGTTATACTTAGAAAAGCCTCAAACTCACATTATAAACTTCACGTTTTCTTTCTTGCATTTAAATATTCAAACCACCTAGAGTTTATTTTGATGTAAGGATGATGCAGGGCTCCAACTTAATTTTTTCCCCAGATAGCTACCGAGAAGTACCTAACATTCCATACACGATCTGGGAATGACTCTGTATCTTAAACGAACTGTTCAGGACACAGAAACAACCATGGATAGCCCTGACATAGTATTTTTAACTTCATTTTAAAAAATCATAACTAACTGAAAAAAGCGTAATACAAAAGATAAGTAATTAATATTAAGATGTTCTCCCTATAAATCTAAGACATGCTAAGATCCAAAAAGATAAACTGGTAAAGAGATAATCTCACAAAAACCACAAACGTCTGAACGCAGAGAGAGATAATGAATGTATCACGAGGAAATGAAAATGGGCAACATCTTTGAAGGCAATTCTCAGAGGCAGCGATGCGGTGGCAAGCAGGCCAGTGCATACCGGAAGTGCCTGCCACTTCCATGACTTTCACTGAGAAAAATTATACTACCTACTACTAGGGATCCTTTGAATCAGTAAATCAATTTCAAAGAATCTCTCCTTAGCAGTTAATCATAAATCTGGAAAGAATGTTAGGTACAAAAATGGTCAAAGCTTTATTTTTAGCAGGAAAAAGAAAAAGCATAAAAACTACCTCTATGTGCAAGAACAGAGAAGTAGTTAGACCATTACAGATCCATATGGGGTATACTTTGCAGCCATTCAAAATGTTCCTAAAGAATTCAGTATCAAATGCTGAGCACTTGAGAGGACAAACCGGATGTAAAGCTGCTACTATCACAGGCAAAGCAAAGAACTGAAAGGAGCCATCAGAATGTCAGTTACCTCAATGATGGCTGTCTTTACCACTACTCTGTATTTCCCAAATGTTCTACGGTGCGCATCTGTCCGATTTACCAAGAAGCCCTCACATGATCCAAAATAAAGCAAACGGCTCTACATCAAGCACTTGGTACAAAACATACCGAGTAAGGTTCTGCTGTGTTTTATCACACCACATGGGAGCAGTGTAACAGAGCAACCTTGAGTCTACTACTGGCCAGCCATGTGACTGAGACAAGGTAACGCCCTTCATTTGAATCTGAGGCCAACTGGTAACCATCACCTGCTGGGGTTAAAGCACACACTGCAGCCGGCCCGTACAGGATACTAGCACGTAATGGTCCGTACAGGATGAGCATACACCAGTCCATACAGAACACTGGCACACACCAACTTGCTAATCCAGAATCGTCACATTCTGTTGCTGACTACACATCAGCAGTTGCCATCTGGCTTCTTTACCATCTCCTTCCAGTGTAGACCACCAGGTTCCCCACATCCGTCCATTGCCCAGCCCTACATCACAGTTATAGAAGCTCTTCCTAAGCCACATCGAGGTGCAGTGGTCTGAGGACCCAGCACCTTCTAAGGCCTTGCCATTTAAAGTATCTCCTTGGACCAGTAGTTTCTCCTGTAGCTTATAAGAAGCCCCACTCTCGAGCCTACCCCAGTAGCGCAGAGTAAGAACCTGGATGTGTAGAGGATCTGATGCCCATTCAAATCAAGTAGCATGGGGGCTCAGGAATCACTCTACTCCTCACCCAACCTCTCATTTCTGTAATGCCCTCAGCTACTACTCCCTGACCCAGTCCCTTCCAGTGCCCCTCCCTTCTCTCCAAACCCATCCACTGTGCCCTCCAAGACTCCCCAGTACTCAGCCTCCTCAAGGAATGCAGCCCTGTCTGCTTATGCTGACAAAATCCGTTTGGCCCTAGAGTCCAACTGTATAAAACATCCTTCTACTCTCAAATACCTGATGCCACCTATAGTCTACCTCTTCCTCACCAAACCTCTTACTTCCCAGAAAATAAAAGCCAATAGCAACAGGACTCTCAACTTCCCATTATGAAACATGTAAGTGTACTATATATATATCCCTACCCAGTTAAGTGGAAGATGGTCCTCCTACCATGTACGTGGCTGCAAGGGTGGTCACGCCCTGTGAAGCTGCCACTCGGCCACCCTAGCCCCACTTTCCCCTAGTCTCTGTCAGGCACCAAGCTTCAGGTCTCTTTTGCACAGTCAAAGTCGGGGCCAGCATCTGCCCCACTTCTACCATGCTGGGAATGTCAACATCCACACGGTGACCCATCCTACTCTCTGGGCTCTTTGGTTGGCTGTCTTTGTCCAGTGACTTGTTTTAGTCATTTACTACCGGTCACACCCTGGATCTTGTCATACAATGAAAATACCCTCCCTCCCAGGTCTCTGCCCTTCTCTGTTGGGACACAAGCCCTCATTCCTTCTCATGCCTCACCCACTCACTTCTGAGACTATTCACTGAGGCAGTTACTTAAGAGGTAGAGGGAAACATCAGAAGTAGTGGTCATCTCTCTCTACCCTTTTGCTCCCTCGGCCTCAGGAATGGCTTCCCCAGTGGCCATTTTAGATTCAGAGGGCAGAAAACAGGGAGTGTCCCTCAAGCCTTGACTTTAAGACCATGTGCTCCAACGTGTCTTTATGAATGCTGCACTGGATGTTATCAATGACTGCAAGTTTCCAGTAAAACACATTTATTTCCTCTTTGACCATTATTTTACATATATATGTATTTTACATATATATACGCACACACTTATATACATATGCATGTATATACATATACTCACACACACACACAAAATTTATGTATCTCAAGGAGAACCCATAAGAAACTATAAGCATGACAGCTGCCTGAAACCACTCTTTGAATCTCCATCCTCACCTGAACAGTTTCACTGGAAAAACCACTACCCCGGCCGTTTCAAGCTCTAACCTCAATGGAACCTTCCTGCTTAACTGCCTGGTCGCTTCCATGACACCTGTTCTCCGGCCCTGCCCATCCCACCACCTCAGAGCCTTCTGTCTTACTCTGCCTGGTCTTGACAGTTTGCCCAACATTCCCTTGCCTCACCTTCCTTCTGGCACATCCAACCACCTGCATCTAACACTTGCACCCAAACTGCTAGAATGATTATTTTTAATTCACACACCAGGACAGACCAAGACCATTCTAATTCACTGATCTTCAATCTCAGCTGACCAGGTTTCTTTATCAGACTGTTCTCCAAATCCCTACACAACTGTTTTAAATCCCCTCTACTCTCAAACACCTGATCCCCACCCTCAGTCTGTCTCTTCTTAACCAAACCTCTTACTTCCCAGAAAATAAAAGCCAGTAGGCAAGAGGACTCTCAACTTCCCCTAACGAAACATGCAAGTGTACTATCCCTCACCCTCTGCCTCCCCTGGGATCTGCGCCATCAGTTACCACCCTCCACCCCCCACCTGTGCCTTCAATTGCCTCCTCTTTCTGCGGACACATGGGATGCTCTGAAGCCCTTGGCAGCACACTTAACATCTGTCTCACGTATGTGGGTCTTTTCCAATAGCCTGTCCATGTTGCAAGGGCAAAGACCCTGATCTTAAGCACCACTGTTCACCTCCAGTGCAGCAAATGGCAGAGAGCAGGCACTCAGTAAGTGCTACGTGTCCTCACTTTACCATTTCTTATGTGACAACTTCAAAACAAAACCAAACAAAAACCACGCCCAAAGCCTTCTTGACCAGGATCTCTTTCAGTAAGTATTTTGTGGAGAAAATAAAAGGTCTTGCTGAGCATTTGCATATTTCAGGAGCTACTATCTATGTTGGCAGAGAACTAAAGAACAGAGATAAAGCACCTGGCGTCTCACTGTGACAATGACATAGTAACACAAGGACAAATGCCCAACTCTAACACACTCCCACTGGAGAACCCCCACTGCACCGTCCTTCCGTCTGGCAGGGCTGTGACGGCGTCTGGCTGTGACAGCATCCAGCTGTGACAGCTCCCATGAAGCTGCTACCTTAGGATGGGCTCAAGGTCAGGGTGCCGCCGTTCCTCCTTTTTCAAGGAGCCCTGGTTCAGCGCTCTTAAGATGGTCTTGTCAAAAGTCTCTGAAGACAGTTCCTTTGGAAGCTAAAAAAACAAAACAAAACAAACCATGTCCAGTATTAACTTTCCCCCTGATGGTAAACATGTTACAAACCAGAAGAGAAAAGCCTCCTGCCCACATTCATCATCCAGAAGCAGCTTCTTTTCCAAACTGTCATGACACAGAGCCCCAAACGGAAGCAATACCGATTTTCCTCCACTAGGAAACATGCCTGTCTTCTGTGCACCTCAGGGGTCCCCAGAGGTGGCGCCACCCAGCCGCTTCAATGGAGAAGTCTAGCTAAACCACCCAAACACTGATGCTGCTTCTTCAACACATGCAGGCAGTAACACAAATTCTCTCCAAGTCAGTGCCATAGGTCACATTCCTGGGCTGAGCTGTAACAAATACTTGCACACTGCTTTAGTTTCGAGTGTTTTGTTATCTTCAATTTCCAGTCTTTAAAGAGGGCATTTCTATTAAAAGAAATACAGCTTGAAATCATGTCTTTTATATTCTGGTCACCTGTTTCGAAATACCCTGACCTCTCAAATCTTACTTTCAGCACACCCGGCCTCCCACCTCAGTCTTGGCTCAGTACTCGCAGAAGCACTGCCAAGTACCTGCACCTGCCCATCACAGCATCTCTTTTACTGAAAACACTGAGGCCTCATGGAGAACTACCCATAAGAACTCATTACAATTTTGTATTCGTAACACTTCTCACTCATACATGATGCCAACAAGTACTCAAACCCCTGCTCTCTCCCAGGTGGTGGTGTAGGTTCTGTGCATACAGCACTGAAAGGAGCTCCTCAGGGAGCTCCCATTCGGGTGCTGAGACACAGAATCGGCGGTATGTCAGATGCACTTGCTAAGGAGAGTACTAAAAGTAGGGGAGAAGGCAGATGTGCAGGGTAGAGGCTGCAATTCAGATGGGAGGAAAATGGAAAGCACTGATCACAACCTTACCATCAATAAAGTCAAAGGCTGTTAGTTTGCACAGGCTGTCAAAAGGGCAGGTTTTACTCTTTTGTATATGATTTTTAAAAAGAAAATAGAATTAACAGTAAACTTGGAAGCATACTGTAGCAGAGGCAGCTCACTTGTGTAAGTACACAATGTTTAGGTTATTTCATATTCCCTGGTCAGTCACTCATCCTAATTTAGAAAAATACTTAACACGCAAATGTTGGCTCCTCAGGGGGTCATTAATTAACATCATTTTGAGAAGTGAATGACTTAGTTGGGGTTTTTTTTAAACGCATCTAAGCTTTTAGAAAAATGTTGACTGAAAAAATGAAATCTGTCAAGACACACAGTGGTTGGAGCTTAAGGTAATTCAGGAGGAGAAAGGAGACCACGTCTGGTGCAAACCCCAGACTAGGGGACAGCCACGTGTGCTCCCGAGGTAAACAGTGACCCACCCACAACCTGGTGCTAAGCAGCCTGGCTCTGACAGGTGGCAGCACTGGGCCCCCTCATGCCCAACCCCACAGCCCAGGGCTTTCAGCCTTAGCTCTGTATCGCCTGTCATCTATTCGACAGCATTAGAACTCTGTCACGGAGAAGGAACAGAACAAGACAGGAAACAGAGGCATGATGCTCTAACTCAGACAAAGCCCACCCATGACTCCTTGTCCTGAAACTGATAAATGTCTTCTATTAAGAGATGGGAAAGTCAGAAATAAGTAGAAGAAATTTAAAAACTGTGTGTGTGCCTGTGTGTGTGTGGGTGTGTGCAGGGGAGCCGTGCATCTTACGCTCCTAAGTACTGACAGCACTCTCTTCTGTGCGGCACAATGCCATGGAGAGGACTTTGGCCTGCCACCCGACTCTCTTTCCTGTGTGTACGTAGAGGCTTTGCTCTGGCACTTAGCCGGTTACCACCACGGCTGTGAGTTCAGCAGGCACCGCGCCCAAGCACCTGTTCCTTCAGCTACTCTTCACTAAGCTGTCTCAAGCCAGCACTTCATCTGCTTATCATCCTTGGTGACTTATAATTAATGAACACTCCTCCCCACTGACATGCAGTTAGGCCATTAACTTCAAGTGTGTGAAAGGGTTCTCGGCCTGGTTTAAAGGAGCCACCGGAAAGTGGAACTATTCCAGTTGTGCCTGGATGTTATCTCACGGGCCTGAAGCCATCAGAGGGACAGACAGGAAGGCCGAATGAACAGACACTGTGACAGTGTATCTAGCAGTGTGCTCCTCATGAAGCTAGCTTCTCATGTGCTGCTCAAAACGCTGCCAGCTGATGAAAAGTTTCTTTCAGATTTAAGGATGAGCAAAGACATGCATGATCTGAAAAGGGTACACTTACAGTGACAAGCAGACAATTTAAAAACCAGGACTGCCATGAAAAATTCAGATGTTATAGGCTTATGAAGGACATCACTTCATAACTTAAAGTCAGTAACTGAGTTGTGAAAGTTTCTTGTTTCTGGACTTTCTGCTTTACCATCCTACTAACAATAAATTTACAAGCCCCTGCTTATTGAGAAATAATACAGAATATTTATTTCTACCCATTGCTTTTCAATGAAAGAAAATCAGTTTAAAGAAATACACCTGAGTTTGGACAAAATGATGTATCGTTCGCCTCTACAAGTCTGTATGAGATGTTTCCATCATTGTCCTATTCTCAACAGTCTGGAGTTTCTTTCCTGGGGGAGGGAGGTAAGGGAGCCGTAACTCAGAGGAAGGAGACATGGAGATGGGTGCAGGAAGCCCCCTGAGGACACAGAAGAGCTGTGAGATCTGAGAGCCACTAACCCATGAAATCAGGCCTCATCTCACCTCACTGATGCTCTGTCCTACAACATGCATGGGAAAGCAGCCACCAACAAGACACAACACAGCAAGAAACGAGTTAGTAGGGGTCAGTTTTTAAAATGTGCGAAACCCTTCACATCATGTCCTGAAACTGGTAATGTAAAGAGGTGCACCTGCCTTTCAGGACAGTCTGGCACTGTCCACAGCTAATGCTCATGGAGAGTTCTAAGCACCTTCTGTTTCAGGGGTTTAATTATCCTGGTGGCTTGTTTGGGCTTTGAGGCTTTTGAATGCTACATATTATGTTAAAGCCAATTTAACAATAAAATCTATACTTTTACCTTCAGTAGAAATTCCTGGAGTTCCTGGTGGGTTTTTGTTACTGTTGTTACTGAAAGATCAGACCAATTTACCTGATTTAAAAGAAAACACATACATTACATGATTATTGCTTAGGTGAGAACTGGCTGGGAAAAACACCATGTGTAAAACAAAGGGCCTTACCTTAAATTGCATTAAGATTAACAATTAGAGATTCTAATCAAAGTTAACCTGGCACTGGCATAATTTCTTCAACATTGTTAAAATTAACTGTACACTGACATATTTTACTCAAATAAGTTTTCTAATAATTCTTTTTGAATAGGATTTATTAAAAAAAAAGTTTCTTTCTGTGAAGGTGAAGTTGCAGGATTCCAAAATGGCACTTTGTCAGTGTAGACCTACGTCCAATAAGACACAAGTCCCATCTCTTAGAATTCATTAAATATATATTCTTAGGAGAAACAGCCAGACTTTACTGCCCCATTTGACAGTACCATGCTGTATTTCTAAGGGGATTTATGGTCTACAAAGAGATTTCATCATTATCTCCAGTTTAAAATCCTATTAAGGGGGTAAAATATGTGTGACTGATCCTCTTCATTTTCAGATAGAAAAATTCAAAAGAAGTGAATTTCATTAGATGCAACCCAAAGGAAGCACGAGAGCCAACCTGAAACTACCACGCCACCCTGCTTCCTGGGCACTTTCTCAACTCAGAGGTATGACTGGGGACCACTAATAATTTCTGCCTTAAAATTAAACACTTGAATTATGCTAATATCTAAGCCTTACCACACATAGGAAAACTTTATCTAGCCTTAAATCAAAACAAAAATCTTTACTAACTGCCACGTATCTCAAGTGACCTTTAGTCACTCCAATGTGCGCTGAGCAGCTATTTAAGTCAGGCACTGTTCTCAGTGGAGGGGACACAGAAGTGGTCAAGGCAGTCGAAGTCTCTGCAAACTAAGTCTACAGCCTAGTGCAGGAGACAGAGAAAAGTCAACAAAAACAGAAACCCTTCCATCAGTGACGAGCAACTCAAAGAGCATGAGCAGGGAGGGCATGGTGCGAGAGTAGAGAGAACCACACTAGCCCAGGTCCAGGCCCAGCAAAGTCCTGGGGAGCAATCAGCCCGTGAGCTCCGGCACCAGGACGAGGGCCAGTGTGACTGAGTGTAGAGAGTAGAAGGGCTGGGGACACACGTCACAAACCTGCAAGACAAGCCCATGGAGATGAGAACTTAAGACTTCCAAGTTGGGGCTAGTTGTCTCACAAAGCATAACTCAGAGTTTTGAAAGTCATTCAACACATGTGCTAAGCAGATCAGATATGGTGGAATGACCCAAGGATGGAGATTCCCCCTCACCACAAGATAAGAATCTGCTGGAAAGATGCAACAGGTAACCCAATTAGAAGATCACCTGAAGGGCATGATGGCAGGAAGGGTCTGGATAAACAAGAAGATATTGTCTTGGAGGGTCAAGATGTCATGAGAGCGGTACAGCTAGAAGTGGGATAGCAGCACCTTTGGGGAAGGGCGTGAAGTGAGGAAGCACAGAAACAGGGCGTCATTCCACAGCTTCAGGGTATGTGCAGCCAATGGTGAGGGGAAGGGCTGAAAAGCTGAAATGAAGAAGTCCAAGCAGGCAAGAATGAGGAAGATGTGGTAATGAAGTCACACTGCAACCGATGAACAGTAAGGAGGTGTCGCATGTCTTACCCTGGGAGTAACGTGATCAGAGCTGGGCTACATACACACAGCAGTAAGGAGGACAGCTCTCTGGATGGGAGAGCAGTTATGGGTAGGAAGACAGGCAACAAAGCCCAGGAAATAAACATGTCAGAGAGAGAGGAGCCAGGAAAGATGGCACCTGTAAGCTTGCGTGAAAAATACTGGTGAAATGTCTACTTTTACTTCTTAAAGATATATCTTACGTGTTAATCATCTCCCTAAATCTAAGGCTTTTTTTTTGTAAGCAAACATAACATTTTCAGTGTAACTATAATGTGGTACAATTAAAAAGTTTTTAACTTGGCAAACCATGAGCGTACACTAGAAACTGTTTATTCCTGTGATCATGGCAATGCGTAGTGAGCTAGGTAGCTACAACTATCTTTTCTTGAATTAGCAAACCTGCCAGATGTTTTCCCAAAGATCAAGTCTCACTTTTTGCACAAGCTCAGTAGACACAGGCTAAGGAGTGTCTTTCTGTAGGTGCTGATATCTTACTTTGAAGGTGTATTCCCAGTATTTGTCAGCCCTTTTTCTCTGGACTCCTTTCAACATTATCTTCTCAATGTGCACAGCTGAAATGGAAGAAAAGCATGCTTAACTTTTTCTACAGACTTTAGATACAACTTTCACTTACCCAGAACAAAGCTGTAATTTGACAAATGCTTAACAATAAGCTCTGTACCTCGGTCTTTACTATTGGCCTTAAATCATGAACTGAAAACCCAGGGGCAGAGCAAAGTGCCACCCCCCACAATGCTATTTGTTTCTCGCCCAGTCAACACTCAGAGGCCACAGCAGTTTCCAGCACTCTGATCCAGAGACAACCAAGATACATAACGAAGGTGCCTGTACAAGACTGCTTTCCTAGATGACAATCTTCAAAATTGTTATCCAGATTATCAAAAATGCAGCATTTTAGGATTAACTAAACATAGTCCACTCAATTATTGATACATCACAGGTATAAATGAGAAAATATTTAGGTTTTTACATTCAAAAAGAATAGTCAAAATAATATACCAAATGATAAAAATTTCTGCCAAACTGGGAATTTAAAAATTATTTTTCTCAAACATAAGTCTTAATATCACACTATGGTAAATATAAACTAAAAAATATACTGAATTCTGAAAGTTCAATATAACAGACATTTTCACAGTTTATCAGTTAAACAGCAGTGATAAATTACATGAGTGACTTAAGTACATTTGCTCTGAATGGAGCTGCATAATGTATCAACTTAGGATGTCCATCTTTTTACCAACTGAAAAGAGCCAATCGTCTAGTGCACACTTAAGATGGAGAGACTGCTGTTCAGGTTATAAACAGAAGAAGCAGTACTTCAGTAACGAGGGAAGTAATGTCAGAGTTGATAACGGATTATGACCAAGGTCATGGGAAGAGTTAGGAATGCAATAGAATAGAACAGGGTTACCACTGGATTTGGAGACACAAGAGACAAGGAAGAAAAGGGAAGGATTCATTTTTCCCTAAAGGAATAAGGGAAAGTAAATAGACTAACAAAGTGACAGAAGTAAAACAAGATTATTATGGATCACGGAAGGCAGGCAAGGGAAGGGTGCACAGTGTAAGACACAGAAATTTTCAGGAAAGCACACATTCAGGATAAACTAAGGCAATGTCATTACTACTCTTTTTTCCCCATATCCCAAATATACAGTCTTTGGTGGCACGCTTCTAGGCCAGTTCTTCTTTATTGGGTCAGAATGTTGAGGAGCATCCCAAAAGCCGGCTGAGAAGCCTCGACCTCCTCAGAACTGCTGCAACACAATGAAGGCCAATGTGGGGAAAGACCAGTCCGCTGCTTTCAAAGGCTTTTCTATTAATTTCAAGGAGGATGTTAGTAAGCCAGAACCTTTTGAAGTCATCTGCATCAGAAACAAAGCCTCTCTCCTTCTGCCAATCAGCGGGCTAAGGGTGTAGGGCCTCGTTTTCTGTTTGGTCGGACGCCAGTTTGTCTTAGTAGCAAAGGCTACTACCATATGGCCTTACGGAGTATGGGGACCTAGCTCTACCTTGCATGTTGATAGGCCAGATAGCTGCGATCAAAAGCAAGGTAAGTGAAATGGTGTGTGATAAGGAATGGATGATAATGGGAGACCCTTATTAACCCTCATTAATAAAACCAAAAAGCATATATTACATATATTTCTTTAAAGTCAGGAATAAAATAAAAATCATCTGTGCTACCACTTTACAGTTCTTCATTTTTCAAAAATCTTTTCATTGAAAAATAATGGACCTTCATTGTAAAACCACACTCTGCTTTAGGTTAGTCTCATGTTTTGTGAGCCTCGCTGAAGCAGTCTAGGATTGACACTTAGTCTGAGGGAGGGGAAGGAGCACAGTGGTAAAGTCTCCAACAGAACTGGTAATTACATCAACTTTTCAAACATTACACATCATACCTGTTTTTCCTCTATGAGGAAAATGTATCAACTGTATTATATAAAAAGGCTTATCATGGGGACTAAAAAGAGACTACAACCACCTGTTGCCATCAAGTTGATTCCAACTCATCGAGACCCTAAAGGACAGAGGAGAACTGTCCCATAGTTTCGAGGCTCGTGGCTCAGTGGTTAAAAGTGCTAGGCTGCTAACTAAAGATTGCCAGTTTGAACCCACCAGGGGCTCTGCAGGATGTGGCAATCTGCTTCCATAAAGATTAGGGCCTCAGAAACTCGATGGGACAGTTCTACTCTGACCCTAAAGGGATGCTATGAGTCAGAATTGATTCAATGGCAGTAGGTTTAGTTTTCATCTTTACAAATCAGACCACTGTCTTCCACAAAGGAGACATACTGAAATAAATTCACAACTTTCACAACTGTGTGTGCTGTAATTTCATTGTACCTGGAGGCAGACAGGAGTCTACATCTCAAATTCTATTATCCCCCTTCACACAGGTTAATGGACTTCCCAAATCCAAAGAGAAGAGACTACCTGAAATGCATTGCTTTTTAGATGGCAATGTCCCTCACTCCCCATCTCAGCCCTCTGGAAAACTGCATTATTACAGGAAGTACGGAGTTGGAGGGCAGTTCTGCAATGTCTTACAGTGAAACTGTGCAATTTATCTTCTCAGTAGACACCGAGTAGACTACACATAACACACGATACTAAAAGCTTTCGGAACATGAAGCTCTTTGCCCTCCGAAAGCACACAACCAGGTTTAAGACAAAGCCACACAGAAAGAGGCAACACCAAGCAGAATCTACCGAATCTGCAAGGACAAGCAAGGTGCAGAGAAAGAGCACAGGTGACAGATGTAGAAGAACCAGAAGGATGTCTCTACTCCAAAAGGAGGCAGAAGAGGTGGAATTATAGTCAACGTAAATATCCCTGCAACCTTTCGATCCACAGATGCTGCAAGTTTATAGAAAGTTAGCATACCTTCTCGCTGGGTTCTGTGAGGCACCAGGGTAGGCCCGTCACGAGGTATTGGGGCTTGTTCTACTAAATTGGTCTCATTACTGCACATGTGATCACCGTGAGCAGAATCATTCTAGATGAGAAAGAGGGACGTGTTAATCTACATCACAGACTAAGAATAATGAACTCCATAAAAGTAAGATAAATTCTAAACTCTTAATACTTTTAAACAGTAACCATCTTAGTAACAATTTTTAGAGATCAAATAGGTAATTAGACATTAAAGGCCAAAGGCACAAAGCTCCCAGCAGCAAGGAAAAAGAGAAGCATCGGTATTTTTATTTCACTGTAGTATTCTACCAACAATTCACTGTCCCAGCTTTCTTGAGACATATAATAGCATACTGTAATCCAAAGCTGCTAATGATGTCAATTCTACGTGACACACTTTACACGAACATCCCACATGAAAGGGCGTTTGTAGTTTTCACATTATTCATTATACGATTTGTATTCATTGCTTGGTTTCAGTGAAAGTCTAACAAGATGTTTTGTTAGGAAAAAGGTGGTTTTATAAACGGTATCATCAATATATGCCAAATCTTTTTCTAAATCAAGAATGTGTATGCACAGTGAGTATGCTATTAATGTTAAGCCACCTAACATCAGCCGGGTCTTCCAAACCTCATTCCACTTGCTTAGCCAATATCTTGAGTGAACTGGAGTCAATTTTACTCCCTGGAGACTGCCGCATGGAATGGCAAAGAGCGCAATAATCCTACAAACAGCTCTCCAGAATTCAGGCGTGGCCATGCACTTTGAGTCACTGCAATATACTGGTAGGCCAAAAACACAGCTATCGGGTCTCTACCCTAACTCATACCTCATCCCCTCACTATGGTCAGAATCTCAAAACACTACTCGTATCAAAATCACCTCAGTTTCAAGAACCAATTACAATTTACAAATCTGCAATGAACAATACGTGGTGTTTATTTTTATTTTGGGTAAAGAAATGAGGCAAACAGAAGGCCCTAAACTTCCCAAGAATCTCAATTTCAAGTACTGTGTTCTGCTTTCTAATGCTGCATCCCGGCCCAGTGAAGGGCACGGGCTGCAATTCACAGCTCCGTTTCTGGGAATGACACACCATATTAGACCCTCTTGAGAGCTAAGCGTCAGTTTTTGAGTCCGTCTTCCCCTAAAACCCCAAGCTAAGAGCGGCTGTTGGTCTGCAACAGAGGAGACACTAGACATTGACCTTTCAAGTTAACACCCACTGGCCAGAACATTTGGCCTGAGGGCATCTGCCGATTTTCAATATTGATACTTTTATCAATATTATAGATATGGGAATTGTCCAACAGTAACAAAATCATATACCTCCTAACCCAAAGCATATAAACTTAACTACAAAGTAATAAATAAAACCACCTTTGCTTAAGAGACTTCACTTCTCAAAATGCAGTATTGTTGGTAAGTATTTCCCAAATCAATATAGCAAGACTAACAAGGAAAAAGGAACGCGACAACTAAAATCAGAAATCGGAATGTCTGACTCAGTGCACTTAAAATTTTAAACTACAGACTCTACAGACACAAAAGGGATTATAAGAGAATATTATGAACAACTGCAAACCAATTAGATAAATTAGATGAAATGGACAAATTCCTAGGAACACACAAACAACCTAAACAGATTCAAGAAATAGAAGATCTCAGCAGATCTCTAACCAGAAACTGAGTCAATCATCAAACCCTCCCAACCAATAGGAGGCCAGTGCCAGACGCTACTCAGTCACTCCACCTGAAAACATGCCAAGTGGCCTTAAGTCAGACACAGAAGGACACGTATTGCATGAAGCCACTTGTATGAAATAGCGACATCAGGCAAATGCAGAGATGGAAGTTTGTTAGTGGTCACCAAGGGGCTGGGGCGCTGAGGTTGTTTGCAGGGGAGGAGAGAGTCTGAAAGAGAGACAGCAGGGGTGGTTGCACAACACAGTGAATGTAACTAACATTACCACGTTGTGCACTTCAACCACTTAAATGGCAAATTCCGTTATGACATATATTTCACCACAAAATTTATTTTTTAAAACTCCATATTAACAAAACACTATAATCCTCTCAAATAGTTTTGTTAATTGGAAGAATTTTAGTGGACTACGTCAGCCATTTCTTAAAGTAGAATGTTTTACATTGCTCATATGTGGCTGATAAATTAAAAATAGCACATACTTTCAAGTATAAATAATGTAAAATATACAAAAAATGATAGCTGTACTATGCTGCCTCCACAAACATCACAGCAGAACAATTGGGAGAAAGCAGCTTGCTTCTTCACCAAAACCATGTTTAAAGTCTGAAATTTCCTTAATAACATTATTTCACAACTAAGTAAAAGCCTCCTGTTTAATACACTAGGGAAATGAATTTCAGCTCCTATCCAAAACTGAGTTTATCGACCTGTAAATATTAAGTGTCCCCAGCATGTAACAATACTACAAAATCACTCTGACCAAGTTCTGAAGCCACTTACAAGATGTGCACGTGATGCCTCCCGAGTGCAGGAAATCAGAACCATGGCGTTTATCTCCCGCCCCCCCCATGACTGCCTGCTTAGGAAGGCCTTCTCGCACATATGCTTCTCTTCACTTCTCCTGGGGAAAAGGTGCCATAAAATCCAAGAACGGACTCTCAGAGAAAGGAGTTACAATCTCTCTAATAAGTTCAGATTCCCATGGGAACACAGTACAGATGACATGCCAAAAGTGGCACTTTACAAAGCCAAGCTCTGATAAAAGTGTCACGACCAAAGGAAAAGTGACTTCTTCTCTGACTGGATTAGGAAGACAGTTTAAAGATTCTGGCCTTGCAAAAACATACACAACACACATACAGCCTTGGTACGTATAGGCCGTGAACTCACTAGAGCTGTAGCTTGCCTCCTCTAAGAGCTCTACCCAAACCAAACTCACTGCCATCAAGTGGATCCTGACTCACAGCGACGCCCATGGGTTTTTCAGGCTGTAAATCTTTACAGAAGCAGGCTGCCTCATCTTTCTTCCATGGACCGGCTGGTGGGTTTGAACAACCAACCCTACACCACCAGAGCTCCTGCCTCTGAGAGCCACTGGTGGCCACAATGGACATGGCGTGCAGTTCAGGCGTCTGCGGGTCTGTCGTCTCACTCCTCACTCCATGATCACTCGGCATGAACTGTGACACCCATAGGCCCGTGAGGATTGTAAAATACCTAAGAAGATTTCTTTAATGTGGAAAATTCTTGTGAAGCAATCAAGTAGCTGAACAGTCCTAAAAACCTCTTCTCTGAAAACGTACCATTAGCACAAAGGTCACATTTGCTTCACGTGAACTTATGTTGTTAACAAAGGTCAAATGGCAGGTGGAATTTATTTTAGCTCATCTAACAAATATTCTACATGCTTCCTCTACTCTTTTGATGTAGACTATACATCCAAAAATACCAAGACAGGCTCAATACAAAAACAAAGCAGAAGTGTTTCTTAGCTACTGTTTTTAACCAAATTTGCTCAGTTCTTTCAAAGTGTTCACACCTACCTTACCAGACTTATAATTGTAAAAGGAGTATATAATAACACCATTTCATTAAGTTTTTGTGGTAAATGAAAAGTCAGCCAAAAATGTTTTGCTACTTCTCCCACTGAAAGGTAGAATCTAATTTTCCAACCCATGGATCTGAGCTGGCCTTAGAGACTTGCTTGACCAACAGGAAGTCATGGAAATGGTGCTCCAGGCCTGTTGGGGTTCAGCCGCTGGCTGGGCGTCAAGAAGCACAGGTGCTGTGGTCCTGGGCCACTGGAGGTGGTGGAGTCCGAGACTGCCATGCTGGGGTACTGGGTGGGGCGGGAGAGGGCTGCTACCCCCAGCCCCCAGCTAGCAAGCCACCCCAGCTGGGCCCAGACACACCAGGCACAGAGAAGCCTTCCTTGCTGCCAGCTGTCTATGAGAAGCAGCAACAAAAGCAGGACTGTGAGTAATAATAATGAGACAGTTGTTGTTTTAGGCCTCTACATTTTTTTTTTTTAATTGTGATTTGGGTGAAGATTTACAGAGCAAATTCACTTTCCATACAGCAGTTCACATATACTTTGTCTCATGACACTGACCACAGTTCACCACAATGCAACAGCTCCCCTCCCCCTTCCTCCCCATAGTTACCTCTTCCCTGTGTCCAGCCCTCCATACACTCCTGCCCCCTGAGCTGTCTCCCTGTGCATAAGCAGCCCTTCTTTCTCCCATGATTGTTCTCTCCAAGGAGTGTATCTACCTGAGGTAAATGTTCAACTCATATACCTGTCTTTTGTTTGGCTGGAAACCATAGGTGTGGGTTCAATTCCAGACCTGAAGGGCAGTTAGGGGCCTAGTATCAGTGGTTCCACTAGGCTCTATCGGACCAGCAAACCTGGTCCCCACCCCGCATTTTTTTTTCCTCCAAATGATTTTGAGTTTTGTTCCACATTGTTCTCCCTCTCTATCAAGGATCTCCTACATAGATCCCTTTCCAAGTGGATAACAGTGGTAGCCAGGCACCATCTAGTTCTTCTGGTCTCATAGTCATATAGGCTACAGATCGGATGGTGTATCAGTCGCTAGGACTAATTATTTCCATGAATTTTGGTTTTCTTCATTCTTCTTTGCTCTGGATGAGGAGAGACCCATTGTTACATCTAGATGGCAGCTTGCTAGCTTTTAAGATCCCAGTAGCTACTTGCCAAAGTAGGAGGTGGAACAATGTTTTGTGGCCTCTACATTTTGGATAATTTGTTACACAATTATATATTTTGAAATTCTCTTCTTTCAAATTAGAGTTGCAATTAAAGCTTACATTTAAGCAAGAAGCATAGAAAGTTTTGCTTTGAATGTTAGGAAATGATTCATTATTAGAAATATCACTGAGATGTCAGATTTCATCCATTTTTGTGGGAGGGGAGGGAAGAAGCCAGGGGTAATTTAAGAATCACTTAGTGCCTGTCTCCTTACTTGAGAAGATGTGGCAGAAGAGGCAGCCTTTTGTTACATCTCTACTCAATGAAAAAGCACAACCCAACGCAAAGTGATGCCTTACAACACCCACAGCACCTGACA